TTCATTTTAGACCTTTTCTAAACTGCACACAGTATTGGCAGTGACTTTTACAGGGGAACAAATGTCAGTGCATTGCTCAGGAACCCGACTTAGTATTTTGTGGGCCTTTGTGGCTGCAATAGCACATTTTCTTGCAGGTTTAAGACATAGTATAATCTGGTAGAGATGGAAAACATTAACTAGGGCAATTCTGGATCATTCCAGTTCTACCTCCAATCCACCTCCTCCGTTCTGCTACATTTATTACTACACAAGATTGTGCAATGGCCAACCAAATGGACTCCAGTAATTATCCTTGCCAGTGTAGTTACATCAAAATAAATCAGATCCTATGGCTCCCTGTTAGACCTGTCCATGGCATCCCTGACACTTACACTCTAAAAGCCTCCATATTCTCGAAGGTCCAGAGAAGTCTGACATTTCTCCTTCCATCCTCATCATCTCAAGGCCATTTGTTTCACAGTCTCACCCTCAACCCCCACCCACTTGTGCTTTCCTTTATCCAGAGCCACTCCCCCCTGCACTATTCCCAAGGCTGAGGCACCTTCCTGTTTACTTTGTTCTCATTCCTTCCTACTTCTCTGTTGCCACATCCTCTGAGAAGCAGTCCTCAAAGCCCAGCTCAGTTCAAGTTTCCTTGGGATACAAAGGACCCTTTGGTAACAGTTCTCATTCAAGTCTGCCTTCTCTAGATGTAAGTTCCACGAGGGCAAGGAATTCATCTGTTATGTACACTTTTTATGTTCTTGCCCTAATTTAACTGAATTGCAACAATTCAAGTCATCAGGATCAACAGAGATACAAAACACCCAAGTTTACAGCTCATACATGCTTTAAGCTAAAACGACTGAACAATGCCATGGGCAAAGAGGTATGCTGAGTTTTATTTTAGACATGGGCACTATTACTTTTTTATTATTTAAGACACTTCTGATCTTATAGCAGCCCATTTATTAAAAAGTATAAAATTGCCTTCTTTAAAAATGTTGAGAGATGCTGTTGCTTAATTAGTAATTAAGCCAACATATAAATATCCATGAGACACACCTTCTTAAAATGCAAGGGATTTGTGAACTGAACTTTAAGGAATCGATCAAAATCAGTTATTTTAAAAGCCGGTAAGTGCATTCTCTTTTCCATCACCTCCCTTGCAAATTTCATCAGGAAAAATGTGAAAATTTCTTTTTCAAATCAAAATTGATTTTACGTTCTTTTGCCAATAACCACATTCCACCACAAGGAAGGTTGCTCAACTATGCAGACTGGAAATGCCAATCGGAAATCCAAGAGTGGCCTGGCACTAATGCCCCTGATGAATCTGGGGGTCTGTGAAGGTGAGATGCATGGTCTTCACCTAATGCCACTTTTTAGACAGAAGGGGATGGGGCTGCAGGCAGCCCGTGGCTTGAGCATAAGGTTGTGATGGTTGGGAGAAATCTGATTTACTGAACTGCTGGAGTGGAAAAATTTATTTTGAAACTTGAAATGAATCATCACAAACTCCATTAGCAAAACAGTGCTTTGAAAAGTCTATCCAAAACCATGCAAAAATAAGTGAAGCAAAAATTCTGGGAAGCATTCTAGGGAGAAAAAACCGGGCAAACCTTTCCAAGAATATTTATTTCTTAGTGATAATCATATGACCTTGAACCAAGTGAACAGCACTGATTGGTACCTAAGCCTCTCTCCATTCGTGGTGGATGGAGAATCTTGCAGTGAAACTCACTGTCTTTGTGACAAAATACGCCTAATATCACATGATGATGTGGAGCTAGACCAGGGACTCGCCCCGGGTTGAGCATACCTCCTCCATGGTTGTGGGTGTGAACAGGTGGGAAAGGGATGGCTTCAGAAACCACTGGGGCAGTGGAGGGAGGGTCCCTCTGCTTTGAAAATTATCCTCATTTGCCTCAAATTGGTGCCATGTTCCTATCCTATGCCTCTTGGGAGTAGAGTGGATAGCTTTCTAAATGGCAATTAAGAGTGTAATAAGAACTCACTTGTATTCAGGACAGTAAATCAGCACACATAAACAAGTAATCCAATCATCCTCTCAAACTTGCAATCTTCCTTGATTTCCACCACCGACTCACACCCCCCTCCACTGCTGTAATTCTCAACAACCTATGATCTTGCAAACTCTATATTTTTCTTTACAGAGCAGTCTTACCCTTCATGTAACTTCAAATCCCATCATGTAACTCTGCAGTTACCATCCTCTTCCCCCTTTATGCTATAGACATCCACAGCTCCCACCCACCACATAGGGGATGGTGGAAATGCATACAGACTTGTTTTGATTTACAGTTGCCACAAGGGTAGGGAAATGTGGAGAGGCGTTGTCTTAGTCTGTTCAGGTTGCTATAACAAAAGACATAGACTGGTAGCTTATAACCAATAGAAAATTATTTCTCATAGTTCTGGAGGTTGGAAAGTCCAAGATCAAGGTACTGGCAATTTCTCTGTATGAGGTGGGGGCCTATTCATTTTAGAGGGCACCTTCTTGACTCTTGGAGCATTAATATATAAGGGAACTAATCCCATTCAGTGGGTGCCACCCTCTTGACCTAATCACCCCCAAAGGCCTCACCGCCTAATACCATCACCTTGGAGGTGAGATTTCACCATAAGATTTAGGGGGAGAGAAAAACATTCAGTCCATTTTCCTAGTTTGACTCTTCCTGCCAGTCCTACACATCTGAATCCCATGTAGACTTCACAGCTAAACCTAGATGTTTCCTCCTCTAAGAAGCTCTTAAAAATACCAAATGAAAGGCATCTCCCAACCTTCTGGTAGCTAATCACACTTCATCTGCATTTTCCTTGAGACAGCTATTGTACTAGCGTTATCGATGTGCAAATCTAATCTCCTTTACCAGACTACAAACTAATAAGATCAACACTGATACATTCACCGACCACCTTGAAATCCACTGCAGTGTTTTAGACATAAATGTTACATGAATGAACATGGTCTGTAAGTAATAATGTAATGCTTTTATTTTGTACTAATAGAGGGAAGATAGAAATTAATTCTAAAATGTTCATTCAATTTGTCCGAGGGGGTCAACTAATGGCAAGAACAAAAATGGCCTTCTATGCCAATTAACTTAATACTTTTAGTTTATTTCACCTTAAACATTTTTATTTACCTGTTGTTTAAAGCACAGCTAAAAGAAAACCCTATGCTGAAGGATCAGTAAATGTAATAAAACAGTGACATTGATGATGATGATGGTAACAATAATTAAAACAGAAAAAAATTATCTTGTGTGGCTGTTAGGCCAATAGAAAGATTTGGGAGAAATAGTTAAGGGAGGCAGAACCTAACTTAAAATTCACTTGATGATTTCTGTTAGTTACATCACCAACTGCTAGGAGTCTACTGCCTTTTAAACATAGACCACATTCGGTGAGTGAATAGATATCCATAATGGATTTGGGGAAACTCTAACAATCCCACCATCAGCTACAAGCACGTGATCCTCACTCCAGGAATAGAGAGCCACTCTCTCTACTGTAGAGCAGCTACATTAGTTCCCGTCAAAGCAGGCCATAAATGTCTTATAAAACTGGTTTACAGTCCAAAGGCAAACACTTTTGGAAACAGTTCCAGTGTCCAGTTCAGAACAAAGGGTCTGGAGACAGCACTGAGGCCAATCCATACTATCTGCCCTCTCTTCCTATGAGTCTGGGATCAGGTACAAAAGGACAATTGCTAAAATGTTCACTGGTCCATCGTGGTGTGACAATGGCTACTTCTACTTCTACCACCAAAATGTCACAGCTTTGGGAACAAAATCACACCTAATGCTCTTCTACTGGCAAACCCTTACTGCTAAAACCATTTTAAAACAAATAAAACACTGAATAAAGATGAAGCCCAGAAAAGCCTGAGAAGTAAAAGACATGGAATTCACTAAGATGTTCTTTTGCGGGGAAGGTGTAGAAGCAGAAAATTCTATTTCCTGATCTAAAGACTGAAGGTCCCTGGACAGAAAAGGAGTTCTGATGAAATTGAAAGAACAGGTCAGAGGGCATAATAAATTTCTGTGCATGCATTTTCTCTGTCAGAATTTAATAGGTTAAAGAATATCAGTGAAGATGAATCATTTCTGTTTGAAGCATAAAACACACTGACACAGCAACAAAGACGCTTGGAAACTTTATATATTCTTTGCTTCTTTGAACAATCAAAGGCCTTGTCTAGTCAAGGTTTGGAGTAATTTTTCCCAGGAGGATTATTATTATTTGAGAGGGATGAAAGAGCAGTGTTCTTATGATACATTTTCATTTTCTGAGACTCAGAATCCACCTCTTGATGTGGAGGCCACATTTTGGAGGCATTAAGAAGTATGAATAAACACGGAGGCTGTCACAGTTCTCACTCATCCTCTTCTAGCTGTGGCAAAGAACTAAAACCAATCTGGAGAATTCATTCTCAAAGTATAGCTTCATAAGGTGGAGGAATAAGACTAAACTCTTACAAGATTTGAGTGATTCTGTATAAGAGGTATAAGAAGCTTGAAAAATGAAGGCTCAATAAATTAACAGAATTTCAAACATATGGGCAAGAGATTTCATGATAGTATAGCATTCTTCTTCAAGGTCAGACTCAAATAGTTATTACAAACGGAGTTTAGAATTCCTAGTATTTAAACCATCCAGTCAACTAGAAAAAAATGGAGTCTCAAAGTTGACCTGATAAAACCTCTTAAGTTAGAATTCTACTTGGTACTAGTTATTGTTCAAATATATACATATATATATATACATATATATATGTACATATATACACAGACATACATATATATGTATATATATATTAAAATTATATATTTTATAAATATAAATTATATATATATATATGTATGTATTTTTTTTCCCTCTAATGTGTTCTTGTGATCTCATTGTGTAAAACTAGGGAGAAAGTCATGAACATGCCGGCAGCAGACGGGGTGCAAAGCTACTTGCTGACAGTTGAATCATAAAGCTGTTACCATGCTCCAGCGCTTTCATGGGAAACCAGAAGAGGATGAGGGAGTGGACCAAGGCGTTGATGCAGTGACCCCAGAAAACCTGCAGAAAAACAAACCAAGACAGTCAGAGTGGACGGAACTTTCAACCTCTGTGCGCAGCTCTCAGGCTGTGAAGGCTCCAGGAGCAGCATACTACTCTCAAATTTTAAAAAGCACCCCCCCCCAGACAGCTATTTCCTCATATTAACATGCAAATGTCTGAACTCTCTCCACATAATACTAGTTTACTAAAAAGACCTACAGGATATATCCACCTATATACAGACTAATACACAATCCATCCGCTTTGAAAAGTGAGTTGCAGTGAGTTTTCTTTAGCATCTGAAGACAAACATTTTAGGAACATCTGGAAAAAGGGCATTAGGTCAAAATTGCTAATAAGAGATTAAATCTTTCACTTTTGAAACCATTAAAAAGCATTTTACCTGTAAATTCTAACATGCCATTCTCTTGTTTTTCTGCTTACAATCCTTCCCATTTAATTTTTTCTTTCAGTTTTGGGATTTGGCTAATACGTGCACATTTAAAAAAATTCTGTTTTATCTGAAGGAACAGGAAGTTTATAGTAAACTAGAGTTTCATTAACACATTTCAGACTTTGGTGCTGGTGCTTCACCATAGAGCTACACTCCTAACTCCTTAAGTCTCATTCTAAACTATTGAGATGGTAGAACAACTAGAATCAGATGAAATGTATTTAAAGGTCTAAAGTTGTTCTGGGAACTCTCATATAGTTTGCTCCTAAGTAGTGGTGGGACAACAGAGAAATAAAGAAAAATATTGTTATATAAAATACCTCCCCATTTTAAACATTCATGTTTGTTTCACTTTTTGCCTGACCTCTCTACCAAACAAAACCAAAACTAAAACCCAAAGCAAAACCAAACCCAGGAACCAAACAAACAAACAAAAAACTCCAAAGCAAGGTGACTGACGATGTCTCAGGGCATACTTGGTATCACTATTTTGGAGGTGGGTTCATTCCCTATTTACTTCCCACCTTAAAAGGCTTTTTAATTCAAACTCAATCAAAACCACATTTGATTTATGTAAGAAATGCAGAGAAAACAGGTCTTATTTTCTCATAAATAGAATCATAGTAAACAAAGACTGATAAAAGTAGTCACCCAAGTCTCTCTGAGTATGGAAGACAGTAGAGTCAACAGGATCCCATTTAATTTTTTTTCCAGCCTTGGCTATGCCTGTTAAACTGGCCTAAGCATAAGCAGCTGTGAAGGCCAACTATGAGTAACATCTGGCTCAGAAGAAGGACCTCCCGAGGCAGTTCTACCACCGAGCTTGGAGAATGAGCTCACCAAGTCCTTCCACCAAGGACCCAGTGCCACCTGTGCACACTGCGACCACAGCCAGCACTCAGTACTGCAACGGCATTGGGCAAGGGACTGCGGTTTCAGTTTCCTGATCCCGTCCTGCACAGACCTGGGGCCACGCAGCTGTACTCACATCCTGCCTCCTCCAGGTGAGGCACGTGCCTTCCCCTTGGGCACGCAGCATTCAATCACTCTCCCGCTCTTGGTGTGACTGCAGGCTCTGCAACAGGCTCTCCTTGACATACAAGATTTTCTGGTCCCTATCATACCCAAGCCAGATCCTGCTTGGGTCTTCTGAGGATATATCTACATCGGCCCAGCATCCCTAATCCAAAAATTCAAAACCGAAAATTCAAAATTCTTGAATCTGAAACTTTTTGAGCCCTGATGTGATGCCACAGTGTAAAACTCCACACCCTGAAACAGTTTTCATGCCCCAAATTATTAAAAATACTGTATAAAATGACTGTCAGTTTATGTATATAAGGTCTATATAAAACATGAGTGATTTGTTCACTTAGACCTGGATCTCATCCTCAAGATATGTCACTATGTACATACAAATATTCCACAGTCCAAAAAAACCAAAGTTGAAAGCACTTCTGATCCCAAGAATTTCAGGGGTATTTTAAGGTATATTCAACTTGTGCCTAGATCCTTTCTTTTTCTACAGTCTGAAGAAAACAAACAAACAAAATACAAAAGTCACTAACAAAAATTCATGACTGACTTGATCCATGAGTTGGTATTCAGGCATTCTAGCTAAATAAGTATTTTCTTTAAAACGAAAAAACCCAGCAATGTCTAGGCAAGGTCCCAGTCAGCCTCACCCCAGGGCTCTTGCAAATGTCAGGCTTATCCTGAAGGAAGGGGAACATGAGTGCTAAGGCCCCACTGATATTAGGGACCTATGTGGAGAGGAGGGGAATGGGGTTGACCTCCTGGAACTTAAAGAAGCGCTCCATAGGACATGGGAAGCACCTCAGAAAGGCACGAGTTCTCTGGGCTTGCTGTATGAAAGGGCTGTGGGTCATAGTCTCACTGCTTCTCCCGTGTTCTCTCTCAAGCGTCACCTATAAGACTGCTGGAGCTGAACCTCTGAAGGCAGGCTGCACCCTGCTACACTCTTCTGAGGGGACAGCTCTGTAATTGCAACGTTTACCTTGGTGTTGAAGCCTTCAGCGTTCTGGGTGATTTTGTAGAGCTGCGGAAACCTGAGCATGCTCTCCTGACTGCAAGACCTCTCAAAGATTCCCAGGGTAAAGGGTGGCAACGCGGTGAAAATCTGTGTGAAGACAATGAGCCATTAAGAGCTGCCCTTCTGATCCATCCACACAGGAGCAGTGTTCTAGTTCTCTGGAATGATGACTTAATTTCCAGTCAAGTCCAAACCTGAGACTCCATGATTCACAACTCCCCAGACACCCTCCAAACAGAGAAAACATACAAAGGACCACTTTTTATTGTTAATCTGTGAAAAATGGCTACATTCAACAGTAAAAACAGCATTATAAATAGTGGATGTGCCAAGAAATCTTGCTAAGTTAACAATGGCCCTTCTTTGTACAATGAACAGCAATGGAGAATCACACCTTAGCTCTAGGAAGTGTCGTGTTTTCTGTTAGCGCTGAGCTGATGCACACTTTTAAAATTTCCCACCCTGCTTTTATCCTCAAATTTTAGGAAGTACAAGCTACTTCATACATCAATAGATATTTATTGTGAATGAACTGTGGGCCAGATACTGTGCCACTCTAGGAACACAGAGATTTAGAAACACATGAAAGAAGAGGAAGCAGATTTCTCACAACTCTGGCTACTACAGAGGTAAGAACCAGGGCAGCAGGGACACACGCACACACACACACACACACACACACACACACACACACGCAGCGCTCTGCAAAATTACTCATGGAGATGGAGAGGGGGCAGGGGGAAAATGGAGGAGAAGGAAAAGTCAGGAATTGATTCTCGCATCAGAGCCTCTGACCTTCACCATATTGGACCTAGAGAATTTGGCAGGATATTCAGGGGTACAGATGGATGCTACAAAAAGCACTCCCTTGAGAAGAATTCTCCTTACAGAGCTCCAAAGCATCCATGAGCACATTTGAGGGGAACTTGTAAGACACATAGGATGATGGCTGGCTGAGTGCACAGTACAAGGATGGGAGGAAACCGTTGAGTCTCCTGGGACCCCGAGTTCTAGGGCAGTGGTGCCTTCTAAGATGCTGACACCTGTACCTCTCTAGGTGGCGGAAAGGTAAAGCCATGTGCTGAAGACGGGATCTGGAGGAAACACGTCATTTCAGTCTGGGATATGCTGTGGCCCCATGTGCCATGACACGTGAATAAATCAAGTCAGGTTCACTCCAGGTGAACTGGGTTGGCACTGAATAATCACACAGAGACAGAGAAAATACCTTTTTCTTGGGAGTTCAGCAATGGCTCCTCGGCCCTGGCTCCCACAAGGGAAGCAAAAGAGACAGACAAAAGAGGGTGAGAGAATGCCAGAGCCCTATTTATTGAGGGAAGACAATCAGGAAAGTTCCACCCAAACAAGGCAAGGGATGGGATGTCAGGGGAGTGTAGCCCAGTCTCATTGGGTGACACCCACTCCCAGAGCTTCATTCCCCTGCTGAGCCAAGATGAGATCCACCTGCTTCCTCCTGGAAACCAGTCTCACACCTCTCTTGCTCAAGGCTAAGGGTGCTCAGCTCCTAGGTGGCAGCTCCCAACACCCATGGGTCATTCTCTTATTTGGTTCTGGCATAGTTCAGAGACACTGATGGTTATGGTTTGAATGTGAGGTGTCCCGCAAAAGCTCATGTGAAATAAGGCAAGAAAGTTAAGAGGTGAAATGTTAGGGTTAGGAGTGCATTAATCCCTGATAGGGATTAACTGGCTGGTAACTATAGGTAGGTAGGGTGTGGCTGGAGGAGGTGGGTCACTGGGAATGTGCCTCTGCGGTATGGTATTTATTTTGTTCCTGGTTAGTGGCTGCTCTCGTGCCTCTTGCTCCTGCGCTCTCTCTCTCTCTCTCTCTCCCCCCCCTTCCTCCCTCCTTCTTCTTCTCCCTCTCTATCTCTTCCTCTCCCTCTCTACCTCCCTCCCTCCCTCCCTCCTTGGTGGTCTCATGTCCTGAGCCACTTTCCTCCACCACACTCTTTCACCGGGATGTTCTGCCATACCTTGGGTTCAGAGCAAAGGAACTGGCTGTCTATGGACTAAGACCTCTGAAACCATGAGCCCCCAAATAAACTTTCCCTTTTCTAAAATTGTTCTTGTCAAGTCTTTTGGTCGCTGAGGTGAAAAGCTGGCTAAAACACTGACTCACTCACTCTTAGCAGCTAAGTGGATCAAATCCCTGCCCACCAACCCGGCAGGCTTTTTGGCCTGTGGGAATCAGATGTACATCTCTGAGACAATCCTGAGCTGACATCAGTTATTTGGAGACTTGGGTATGTGGCTAGAGAAATAAGCCTTTCCCAAGTTTGTTAGGATCAAACAATCAGAGATATAGTAAGGAAGGCCCATCAAACTCCCAGCTCTCCTCTTCCAGCAGAGAGCAGATGGAAAGCAGCCTGGGATTTCAAAGTGCTACAAAGTCTTCAAGGAGGATATTGAGGAGGGTGGTACCTACTTCCCTCCAAGTAAGAAAAGCTGTCTATGTTATGGCTAGAAGAAGGGGCTCCTATCAAACATCTCGGAAGCTCTGCATACTCTGAGTACACAGCTTCACCTTACCGTTTGGCATGGACGCCTACTTGTGCCATCATGCAAGTCTTTTCTCTTTCCCGTCTTTACTTGATTTCCTCCTTCCATCCACTTTGAGTCCTCTCCACTTCATCATTAGGCTAACAGCCTGACCATATTTTTCACCCTCCTTAGCATGCCCTGCACTCACGTTCATAGACTGGTTGGAGACTGTGATTTGTTTTACAAAAGGGAATGCTGCCTACATTTTTCTTCATCATACTTTTATTGCTAAACATCATGGAAAGCCCTCCAAAGTTCCTCGGGTTTGACACTAACTCGGTCTTTTAAATGCTCACATAATCAGTCAGAGCATGGATGTACCATACTCTTTAAGCCATTTGCTTCCAGCTTTTTGTTACCACAAATATTATGCAATAACTTCTATCATATATTATAATGTATACACTTTTTCTTTTATTTCCATGGAAAGAAGTCCCAGAAGTAAGTCTTCTGAGTAAAAGGACACATGTATTTTTAATTTTAGGACATGTTGCTAGGTTGCTTTCAAAACAGGTCCCAATCACTTATGTCTCCCCTTGCAAAGGATAACAGTAATCTTTTCTCTGTTTTTCTATTAGCAACAGTTATGTCGATCTTTTAATATTCTCCAGTCCAAAAATTTAAAGATATTAACTGTTACTTTTAAAAATTTATGTTTCCCTATCAGTTAGTTGGAGCATGTTTTTATATATTCGTTGGTCATCTGGACTTGCAACTCTGTAAAACATCTAGTCAGGTCCTTTGTTATCTATTCGTGGCTTATGTCCTTTTCTAAGAATTATTTGAGTATAATAGATAATAAAACCTAATGTTTTATGTTATAAAATTAAATGCATTTTTGTCTGTTAATTTTAATGTTTTTTTGCATAACAAAAAGCTTTCAATTTTTAAATGGTTGAGAATAACTTTGGAGTATCCAACTGTGTTATAGAAGTATCTCTTCCCTGGAACTTGCATGAAATTTTCTGGATTTTTACAGTTTTATTTTTCACATATAAGTCTTTGATATAAGATAGAAGTCCACTTTTTCCCCAGATAATGAACAAGTTGAGAGAATACATTAATCCAGAGTTTTCCCCCTAAGTTGAAAAATCACCATTAAGGCTTATTAATTTCTCATGTATTATAAATCTACAACATAATCCTGGAATCCAGTTCTAGAATCTCTGACTTCTTTGTATAATTCTGTGCCAGTAACATATTGATTTGATTATGCTGACTTTAGAGCATAGCCTGATATTAGTAAAGATAAGTCTACTCTATGATCTTTTCTAAACCAATTTTGCATATGTATTCTCAAATACTCATTAATTCCGTCACATCATGTATAGTTTTATGCAGCTTCTCTCTTTGGAATTACATAAATTTAAATTTACATGTTAATTTTAGAAGACTTTACTCTTTAATAATACCAAGACTTCTCATGTAGAAAAATATCATGCCTTCCATTTGTTGAAATTTTGTTTTGTATCCTTTAGTAAGACTTTTTTTTCATAAAGGTACTATAAAATTATACCTATGCAATGTATAATTTTAATTGCAACTTTAAAAAAAAATTTCAGTGCTGGGAATGAATCCAGGCCCTTACACATGCTAGGCACATGCACTACTACTGAGTCACATCCCCAGCTTATTTTGAAAGAAACTACTATTCTCTTTGCATTTTTTGATTGCCAGAGCAAGTAAATAAATAAATAATGATACTAATTGCTAGGATGTTTAAAAGCTATTGATTTTTACATATTTATTATTTTTCTGGTCACCTTATCAAATTCTCTTATAATTCCAGTATTTCTTTATTAGTAATCTTTTGGGTTTTCTAGATAAACAGTCACATATCAACATATGTACATGCCCATGTTTTTGTATGCATACTGTATAACCACAGAAATTATTCATTGTTTTTCCAATATTTGTAACAGTCATTTAATCTTGGCAATTGCTGGAAAAACCCAGAACAATGCTGAATTATACAGTAATGGCAGGTATCTTGACTAATTTCTTATTCAAAATGAAATAGTTTCAGGATTTTATCATTTATGGCAGCATGCTACTATTCATTATTTTTGTGAATAGTCTGAAATATAGTTAACTGACTTCTTTCTATTTCTATTTTACTTAGAGTTCCTATGTCAGGAATGGCAGCTGAATTGCTTCAAATGCTTTTGTAGCATCTACTGATGGGATGTTTTTCTTCACCTTGTCGATATAGTAATAGAAAGATTTTTTAATTTCAAACCTCCAGTATTCCTGAAATTAGTCTTACTCGATCAAGCACTTTATTATTTTAAGACACTGTTGAACTCTATTAGATGACATTTTAGTTAGAATTTTTGTGTTTATTTATAAGTGAGGCCTTCTCATAATTTTCTTCTTCAAATTACACTGGCTTAATAACAGGATACATTTTCTGCTACAGTTTAAATAAATTATAGTTATCTCATCACTAAAAAGTATATAAAATTTAGTTGAAACCCATCTGATCCTAGTAGCTTTTGTCCCTGAGTGGCCTTTATCATCCTACCCACAAAATTAAATGACACAGTGGACCACGAGTATATGGCACTCCCTCCTTCTCCTCAAGGGATAAGTTCCAAGACCCCCAGTGGATGCCTGGAACCTCACAGAATACTAAACCCTACCTATACTGTGGTTTTCCTTATTTATACAAATCTGTGATAAAGTTTAACTTAGAATTAGGCATAATAAGAGGTCAATAACAAAAACTAATAAAAAAGAACAACTATAAAAATATGCCACAAGAAAAGTTATGAATTACTAGCTGGGAACCATGGTGCATGTCTATATCCTACCCATTCAGGAGGTGGAGGCAAGAAAATCGGAAGTTCAAGGCATGGGCAATTCAGCAAGACCCTGTCTCAAAATAAAAAAATAAAAGGACTGGGATATGGCTCAATGGTGAAGTGCTTGCCTAGCATGCATGAGGCCTCATGCATGGTTCAATCCCCGGTATTGAAAAAAAGAAAGAAAATCTTATGACTAATTTATAGTCATAAATTATATGACTATAATTTATATATAAATTATTAAAAATATTAAACACAAAATTTTGTGTTTAATATTTTTAGATCGTAGCTGAATGTGGGTAAGTGCAACCGCAGAAAGTGAAATTGCAGAGAAGAGGACTAATGTAATGAGAATTCAGTGGGATAGTACTAACTCAGTACTTAGGGAGATGCATCATTTTCGAGTCTGTTTTAATACTCTTTCACTTGCTATGGGAATTAAATTGAGATACAATGATTTGCTCTCTAGTTTGAAGAGTCAAACATAAAAAATAAGTTAAAGAAAAAGTAGAAGAGAAAGAAACACAGTTTAAATATAATGACAAGGGGCAATCCAGCCCAGGAGAGAGATTCTTGGTAAACTGCTTTACATGTCTCATACTACTTCTTGTACTAGATCTCTGGAATGATTGTGGACAAAAAAAAAAAAAACAAAAAAAAACTGATTAATAGGACGCTACTAGAACCATGATGGCAATATTGAAATATGGACTGATACAGATTAGACAATGTATTGTATATACGTTAAAATTTTCTGATGATCATTATACTGTGGTTACAAAAGAAAAGATCTTTGTAACTATGCACTCAAGTGTTAGGCAATAAAGGGCATGGTGTCTGCTAACACACATTCAACTGCTTCAGAAATAAGTGTGTGTGTGTGTGTGTGTGTGTGTGTGTGCATATGTGGTATGCATGTGTGTACGTATATGAAGAAACAATGAAAATGGGGGCAAAATGTGAATAATTGATAAATAAATTGATAAATAAATCTGGGGATTTATTTATACTTTTTTTTTTCAATTTTTCTCTACATTTCAATTTATTTCATATACAAGTCATGAAAAAAGGGCAAAGCTTCCTGCTTCGGTTTGGGTGTGGTTTGAGTGTATCCTCCAAAGCTTCACTTGCTAGAGGCTTGGTGCCCAGAGTGGTGAGCCCAGTGGAAGGTAATTAGGTGAGGGGGGCCTCCTTCTTAGGGGGGATTAATGTAGTTCTTGCATGAATGAGTTAGTTCTGTTGAGAATGGGTTGTTATACAGTGAGGCTACCCTATCCACTTGGTCTCTTCTGCATGTAGCCATTTTCCTTTCTACTTTTCTGTCCTGTTGTGATTCAGCTAAAGGGGTCCTCACTAAACCTGAGCAGATGGGGCTGTTCAATCTTGGATTTTCAGCCTCCCAAATGTGGGCTAAACAGACCTATTTTCTTTATAAAGTTCCCAGTCTTAGATACTTTGTTATAGCAACAGAAAGTGGACTGAGACACTGCTGTGTTCTCAAATGAGAGAGGCAGTCACAGATCCCTTGATGTCCTAATTGGAAGTACTTTTCCTACCAGCACTTTGCAGCAGCTCATTTCAGTGCCTGCTTTGAGGTAACCCAAGATCATTTCACCTTGTGATCCACTACTATTCATAATGTCCTTTTCCTCTATAGCTCAGGGGACACATAAAGGCAAAAAGAACATATTTCCAATTCTTCCAACTCACTATGTTTTTAAAACTTTCTTGTATATAATAATCACTAGAAAAGTGCATTTAAAAGGCAGTATCTCATTCCCAACATAATCTAATAGGAATATAGGCAGCCGACCAGTATTGCCATGTAATCTTAATTTTTCTGGAAAGAATCATAGCAAAATTATAATATTGGTCACTTCTGTGTAGTAGAATTATGAATGAAATTTAGTTTGCTCTTTTCTGCTTATTTGTAATTTCCAGTTTGCTATGATGAGCAAGCACATTTTGACAATAATAAAAGGTCATTCTTTAAAATAATAATAATAAAAAAAGGCAGTATCTCTATGACACTCTTTGTTAACTTGCTGTGGAGCTCAGGGATCTGTACTTTCCAAACAATCCCTGGTTATTATTCCATAACTGTTCTGTGGGCCTTAATTTGACCAATACTCTGTCTCAGCTTATCAGCATTTTATGTAGAACAGGTACCTAATAAAATTTTTTTGAATTCATTTGAATTGCCCAAGGCCTCATGGAAGAAAAGAACCTATCCCCATGCCAGGATCATTAAAAGAGGGCTAAAATCCGTTCATCTTATAAGCAGGTATCATGCATTCCAGTCCTCCTGTCCTTAACTCCACAGCAGAGCCTCCTAGGGCTCAGTGTCTCCCTCCTTCCCTCTCTCTCTTTTTGTGATGGGGACTGAACCCAGGACCTCATGCATGTTAAGCAAGCACTCTACTACTGGGTTATATCCTTAGCCCAGCTAGCAACTTGAGAGGCTGAAGCAGGAGGCTTGCAAGTTTGAGGCATGCCTCAGTAACTTAGCAAGGCCCTAAGCAACCTAGCTAGAACCTGTCTCAAAATAAAAAATAAAAAGGGCAGGGGATGTGGCTCAGTAGTAAAGCACGCTTCAGTTTAATCCCCTGTGTCTAAATTAATTAACTAAAATAATAGGTGTGTGGCATGGATTTGCACGAGATAGCAACTCTCTATCACACTTGGTGCTAAACCACTGTAGAGTAGCCCACCTGTTCCTCCCACTAAATCGTAGCATAACTTTAAGTTATGAAGTCCTAAGTTTTTAATTCTACCGATATTTCAACAAAATTATGTAAACACATTAAAATAGGTTGGAAATCATAACCTAGGACTTATATACATTATTATATTAATATTATATTATAATGTTATATAATTATATTATTATTACTATAATCATATGGTATGTTATATCCTATATATAAGATTTCACAGATGTTCTGCATCTGGGACAATGGGACAAAATGGGTTAACCTACTCAAAATAGTTTCAAGTCTTACAAAGCTAATGATCTCTAGTCTCCCTTTAGCACATAGAAAGGAAGCCCTTGAGACCCTAACTGTGGAGTAAGCTGTTAAAGGAGGTTTACCAGCATGTCAGCGTAGTTCTTCTCTCATTATCAGTTGTCTTTGTCTTTTAGGGCATCAGCACAAAAGCATAGTGCATTTTTGTAGCCAGTAACACAGACACTAATGGGCCATCACAATTCAACTCAAGATCTGAACCCAGCCTCACCACTGACTAAGTGCACCTCTGACCCCCTGAACCTGTGAGTTACATGGGATTAGGGTAAACTGATGTACTCAGCATTTTTTACCAGCACTCCACATGGGCGCTACTCAAAAAATGAGGGCTGAATGTATGGGCAGCATGAATATCTGGCCACTGAAGTATATACACACTATAAATATTTATAGCATCACAAGTTATATTATTGCACGTCTGGTAACTTCCATCTACACCTATCTGTGATGGCTGCTTCAGAAAGGGAAACTCCCATGGGGCACAGGACGCCAGGGTTAAAGTCCAGAGCAAGAAGAGCAACTCTATCATCATCTAGAGATGGGCCATTCTGGGGTCTCTAAAGCTCTCAGAAACAAGCCTCTCAGGTTTTTTTTTTTTTTTAACCTCCCTCTTATTAAAAAAAGAAAGAAAGAAAGAAAGAAAGAAAGAAAGAAAGAAAGAAAGAAAGAAAGAAAGAAAGAAAGAAAGAAAGAAAGAAAGAAAAGAAGCCAGCCAGCCAAACAGCTACGGAGCCATTTCAGCTTATAGTTTATATTAATTTCCAGCTTTTGAATTCATCACAGTCAAGTAATATGAAAAGTACTTGGAAATCATGAAAATTACCAAATAAGCTGATTACAATTCTCCATGACAGCTGGAAATCAGAACTCATCATCTGAATACCAACTGTGGAAGAAAATGTCCTTCTACAAGGAAAGATACTCTTTCTGGAAGGCCAGAAAGGACAGTAGTGGTCACATATTCTATATTTTCGTGTCTACAATTAAGAATTCAGAAGTAAAATTATGAAGTAAAGTGAGTTTAGATGTAGTTCAGAAATTTTAACTTGAGCTAAAATCATGAATTGTTGAGCAGGCATTCAGTAAGGGGGCAACAAGGGTCTATTATCAAGATATATGGGTTAATAACTTCATGGGTTATTCAAGAATGATCTGCTATGATTGAAACCATGTGTGGAGAGTTTGGGCTTCTGCAGGATGTGCTGGAGCAACAAAGGCCCTAAAGATATATTTGTGCTGCCTGCTAAGTACACAGATGATTGACTTAGATACACTTCCCAGACATAAACAGTGGAGGAATGTCCCCGAAGTCCTGCATGCTATCAGAGAGAGGTGGAGAATGCTTACCACATTGTACAAGCCGATGCACCAACGTTCAAATAAAATCTGCCCAGAAAATCCATTAACAAAGGCGAACCAAAGCTGAAAGAGAAGAAAGTTCATGAAGTTTTATATCAATATTGACCTAAACGTTTCCATTCACCGAAGAAGTAGTGGGGAATGTGGACCACCAGCTGGACACAGCTGCTAAGGGATAATGAGCCCCCGGACCATAGCAGTTGTTCTTTCATAGGATATAAATTCCCAATATCACTAATATTAATATTTTAAGAAAAATTTATATTTAAGACATATTGGTTTTATAAGATATATGCATAAAGTTTAAAACAAAACAATTGGGTTTATATTTACTTTGTCTGTGTCAACACATTCTCATGGACTGGAAGAGTCTGAACTTCATGTTATTTTTTTTTTCCTGTAAAGTTGATTTGATAAATAAGATTTATATTTGTAGGACTTTCAAATAGATAAAAGTCATAAATAAGAAACAACAGCAAACACTCCTCTCTTGGTTATGTGTGTTTTTAGTTCACAAAATACTGACCCTCCATAATTGTATGTTCTCTTCCTTGGCCAGTATTAAAACAAATAATATGAAAGAAACAGGCTCTCATCATCTTTTGCAGCAACACTGAATGTATAAATAAATAAAACGTTAGAATATTGTTCATGTCTTCAATTAGTCTATAATTATGATTGACTAGGCAAAACTAACATAAAAATAACTACGGAACAAAGGGTCAGGGATTAATTAGTGTTGCAAAACAAGAAAATACAATGATCTTAGAGAAGGAAAGATCTCTCAGGTATGATCAGAAGAAGATATGGAGGCAGTAAGAGTGAGGTGGAAGAGGAGTGAGTCTGCAGGAGGGTGGGCAAAAACTGGACTTAAAAGGAAGCAAATACAGAATATGGGGAAACATTCTCGTGCAGCTAATTTGATATGATAGGATATTAATGATTTGGGGGCAGACTTTTAAAAATCCCATACAAATAATGTGTTATTGTTTTGATACCGGGTGTCCCCCCAAAAACTCACGTGTGAGATAATGCAAAAAAGTTTAGAGATAAAATGATTGGGTTATGAAAGCCTTAACCTAATCAGTGCGTTCATTAATCCCTTATAGGGATTAACTGGGTGGTAACTGTAAGCAGATAGGGTATCACTGGAGGAGGTGGGTCCCTGGGGGCATGCCTTTGGGTTATATATTTTGTTTTTGGTAAAAGAACACACACTCTCTCTTTCTCTGTTTCCTGGTCCCATTTTAAGATGTTTTCCTCTGCCATACTCTCCACCATGAGTTCTGCCTCACTTGGGGCCCTTAGGAAAAGAATCAGCTATCTTTGGACTGAGGCCTCTGAAACCATGAGCTCCCAAATAAACTTTTCCTCTAAAATTGTTCCTGTCAGCTCTTTTGGTCACAGCAGTGAAAGAGCTGATGAAAACATCATGGAATCTGCTTTTAGGCTAACTCATGGTAGACTCAATTCATTATTTTGGTAGAACCTAATTCAAAACAGAATAACTACACCCTAATAACCTGAGTAGAAATCAACTCTGGCACTGAAATTTTACTAAATCAAATATTTTTCAAAATCAGCTTCCTAACTCCACCAGTCCAAGTTTCTGGAGACAGAAATCATTCCCTCTGCTGCTTTATGTATAGCCATATCCACTACAACACATGGTATAAATAGGGACTCACCAAGACCCAGTGGGATAAAATTGAGTGTCTCGGTTCAATCACTCAATTATGTCTTTCTTAAACACAGCTTTCATCATCTCATACCCAAGTTTTAAAGAATCAAATAGGAGACTCCCTCCTGAATCCAAGATAAGCTTGTTGGTTTTCAAAAAAATCCAATTTGCTCTTAATTTTGCTATCATCCAAAGAAGTCCCAAAGAGGCCTGATGAAGAAATACTGGAGGACAACTGAGAACCAAAGGTTCATGCTATGTTCTACACTCAGAATATTCTTACAACACTGATTCAAACACCACCCATCCCCAAACCCACAATTTCAATCTATTGTCTTTTTACCACTCAAGACATTGGCAATCAATACTTGAATCACACTTTTAGTGCAATAAGTACCTGGATACACATCTGATTCAAATATATCTGTAAACCATTTCAAAGGTCTACAATTAATTTTCCCAAGACTGTTCTATACTTCTGAGTTCCATTCAAATAATTAGCCACACTGATGGATATCTAGTAAGCATTTGATTAAATTGCTTAGTCAGTTAAGTTGTCTTGGTGAAGGGGGTATGGTGTGATATTTCTAGTGGCCTTTCCTCCCCTGCCATCAACTCAAATCAACAAAAACAAATGAAAACTGAGAAGAAAAAAGTAGGATAGACCATTTTCAGTTAACCAATGAGACTGCTAATTAAAACCATATATGATATAGAATGGATACTAATAAATATGTGATTAGATCAAATAAAAGGTAATATGTCCATAACAAGCATAATCTATAGATTAAGAGTGAAATACTTCCATGAAAAAAAACAACTGAAAAATAGCTAACCAACTCCTTTTTTTTTTTTTTTTTTTTAATTAGAGGACAAAATATAGAAGTAGAGAAGGAGTGACTGAGGTCTCTGGACAAATTTAGTGCAGCAGGCAAATTGAACTTAGAGGGCAATATATAATTTTTAAAAAGATTTTTAAGAATCAAACAGGGAGAATGGAAGGACATAGTAGAAATATACATGACAATCAACTTGGCAGACACTAATCAAGGTAAACTGAAGAAGACAAAATACAAAATCATCCAACAGAAAATTCATAACACACATAAATTCCCTGTGAAGCATAGAGGCTCCTCTTCCAAGAGGAAAAAATGGCAGCGGGGGAGGTACTTATTACTGCAAGGTGACAGATGACCAGTGGAGAAGAAACAGAAAATTTGATGAGAAAGTGTTCTGAAGACAACTTTGAAACCCTATTCCTCTAGACGTCCTAAAAAAATAATAATAATACAGAAAAAATAAGAATAAGATAAGTGCATATGAAATAATCTCTACGGAAGAACCAGGTCATGGGGGCAGAAGAAATTTTCAAATACCTTTTGTGAGCCTAAACAAGCTAAAGAAAATTATTTTTCTCTGAAACAAGAGATAAAATAAGATGTGTAAGATATTAAAGAAGGAAGAAAATAAGGAAAGATTAATGTTACAGATTAAAGCCATAGAGAAGGGAATAAAAATCAGAATTGACATTGATGAAATTAGGAATAGGAGGCTGGTCTTAATAAAACAATGCTAAGCAAAGAACAAAGTGTTAATATTGTTTTTTTAAGAGAAACAATAATCTTTCAAATATAATAAAAAAAATTCCAAAAAAGTATACTTCTCAAAAAAAGAACAAATATATTAAAAAATATATTCAAAGATAAAACAGAAGAAAAATTCCTGAAATATTCTAAAATCTTGATTAGCCAAAAGAGAGCATCCTTTGTTTCAGGAAAGAAAGCAAACAACAGATACAGACAGACCAATACCCATGCATATCCCGTTATGAGAATTACTGAATTATAATTTAAGTTTTTGTGGGTTTTCTAGGGTTTCACACATGCTATGCACATGCTCAGCTTCTGAACTACATCTCCAGTCTGAGTTTTAAAATTTTATAAGATTAACTCTTCAATATATTCAGGCAGAAAAGGCAATTAACTGGTAATACAACACTGTCTACAAATATGTTTAATGTACTTTTCCTTTGACCCAGTAATTCCACTTTTAAAGATGTACTCTTAATTTTTATCTTACAGTTATAATCATGTAGCATTTGACATCAAAACATGAGAGTGTTTACTTGGCATCATTTGGAAAAATGAAAACTTAGTTATGGCATGTACACAGACAGCTGGTTAAAAAATTAGACTTCATCCATATAATGAAATTCTTTACAGACATTAAATAGAGGGATAAAAATATGTACATATTGTCATACAAAAAGCTCACAGATATATAATTAAAATGGAAAAAATTAAGGCTTATGTTGAATGGTCCTGACTGTGCAAAATAGATGTATGTACACATGTGCATGACAACATCTTTCTGGGTCATACAAAAGACTATCTTAGTATTCATCATCTCCAGGCAGTTAGAGATATTCTCTAGGTGGAAAAAGGGAGATTCTCTTACACCTCTTTTGAAATTTTAAAAAATGGTCATGTTACTTATATACTTGTTTCAGGCAGTTAAAATTCTTGAGTAAGAGTGAAATTTTGCCTCCAAGGAGACATTTCCCAATACCTGGAGATCATTTTTATAATAACAGCTTGAAGGAACACGCCACTGTCAAGTTAATAGAAGACAAAGATTCTCCTGAACATCTTGCATTGCTTGAGAGAGCCCTCTACAAGAATTATCTGATCCAAAATGTCAATTGTGCCACTGTAAAAAAAACCACTGGATTAAAGATAAAATGTATTGGGTCAGCCAGATAGCACTTAGAAAGCTTGTCGTAATAGTGTTTACTTTGTGCCTGTTGCATGAAGGTGGGATTATGTTTGTGTGTACGGGGCTGTGGTTCCTTTTCTGAATAATTCCCCTATATCATGACCTCACATGTAGAACCACAGGTCCTATTCCTTAGAGGCCAGAGCAGCACTGGAAGTGAATCTAGTAACTTCCCAAATTTAGATCCTGAAGTAGCAGTCTATTTTTTATAAACGAGTAGTCAGAATTATTTTCAAGTCCTAGAGTGAATTTTGCATAACCAAGAAAGTCAGGTTGTTAAAAACATACAATAAGGAGGAAAAGAAATGTTAATAAATTTAGTATCTCCTTCCCTAAATTGACCTTGTTGACATTGTTCCGAACAATCCTGAACCATGTAAAACTTTTCACTCTTCATTTTGGATTAATGTTTTTGATGGGTCAAGTGTTGGGATATTGCCTCTAAACAGCTGATGCTTTGATATTGACCACATTGGTACTATCATGGCCATGTTTCTTCCAAATCTTTTGATATGTTCTCACTAAATTTTATCGGTTGCAGGTGCTGCTGCTTTTTGAAAAGTATAAACAAGCTTATTCTCAACATTTCCAGTTCAATTTCAGTCTG